CGGATATTGGGGCCGGCCGTCAAGATTTCACTTGCATTTTATCTTAGAAATTATATAAAAATAGGCATATATTAAAATCAGTTTCCGACTTTAATATAGCCTATGCCAAAAACGGATTTAAGACCACCAAAAACGGATTTAAGATTCTTTCAATGCCGACCGCCAAAAACAGATTTAAGATTCTTTATCTACACCCCAAAAAACATATACCTAATTAAACAAAAAAAAAAAACACACTTTTTTTGGATGCACTTAGTAATCTAAACTCTAAAGTAATACCAAAGATTTTATCAAAAGGCTAGTCTAGTCAAGAAAAATATGAATTGGCTACAGGCCTACCTATTCTTCAATGCCAAATATATTAGGCCTATACTAAAAACTAATCATCTAATGGAGCTGCAGGCCTGCGCATGCACCCTGGGCCTGTACCTAGTCACTGTAGGTGTAGCGGAGCCTTAGGCTCTTAGCCCTTACCCTTAGTAGGCTAATAGGTACCAAAAACCAAAAAGCAGGCTGCAGGCGGTCGGTCAATTTACTCAAATAAAGTTTTAAATTTATAGACGCTCACATAACTAGATTGTCTTAGGCCCCGAAACAGAGCAAACACACCACTCATTGATCATTAATGAAACACAATTCTTCTTGGTAATCTTGGTAATATTTAAGCACCAGCCTTCCTGGGCATCTGGTGCTTCGATCAGAGCATGGGAACGATTTCTTAGAGCTTGTCAAATACTACATAGATAGGAAAAATGTTGACATTTACGCCACTATATTTAGTTTTGCAATATTCCAATTAGTTTTGCTACTAAAACAGTTTTACGCCATGTCGGAGGTCTGTCCCGAGTTACCCTGCCCGTCCCGAGTAGCTCCGGTTGACGGTACTCATTTAGGGGCTAGTTCTTCAAGTTGAAAAACCATTTTAAATAATTTTTCCCAGTATTCATAACTGATCATTAAATTTTGCATCCTATTAATTGATAGATAAATCAAATTATCTATTTTGTCTAATGTTCATGTATCAAATTATGAATTTTAAATACTTGTACACAAATTTCTGGGATTAAATAGCGTCACGGATGTTAAATTTAACACATGTTACATGACTAAACACTTTTTGATTAATCTTGGTAATATCTTGGTAATATTTAAGCACCAGCCTTCCTGGGCATCTGGTGCTTTGATCAGAGCATGGGAACGATTTCTTAGAGCTTGTCAATGAAGCCTGTCTTGGACAGGTAGGTCACTAGTTTTTCAGCTGGAAAATCATCTCTCAAAAGAGATGTAAGTGTGAATGGCCAGTTCTTTTCTAAGCAGTGTTGCTCCAGTGGTTGTCTTGGTTGCAGTAGTTGAGGGCATTCCAGTAGAAGGTGGGTAGTAGTCCAAATTTGGTTACATGAGGTGCAATGGGCTGGCTGTTGTCCAGTGAAAAGGTGCGAATGGGTGAGTCGGGTTGCTCCCAGACGCAGTCGGGTTAGTGCTACTTGGTATGAGCGTTTGATGGCCAGATAAAAACACAATTAATCGCTGAAGATGTAATACTCAGTAGAAGTGATCACGTGGCGAACAAAGCATATAGTGACCAGGCTAAACCAGCACGGAGAAGAAGATATTTCAGTTATTCGATGAGCGAAGAGAAAAAAACGCTACTCCTATAGATGTGATGAAAATTAGTGATCTCTTCTTGAATCTGAGAAAAAATATATGAAATATCTTCATCATTATCACTGGAGTGATCGAAATTAAAACCGATATTCCGATAATAACTAAGAATACGAAACATTTGAGTCGCTTCACTCGCTTGCGTTGCTTAAAGTTGAACTAGGTACCTGCACTTTTGTCCAATCGCTGCGTTTTATTTTGTAGGTTCAAAAATATATTTTTCACATAGTGTGTAAAAAAAGTGCGTGCATATTATGGCCCGGTGGAATTAGCTTTACCGCACGATTAAGCTTTTGATACGTCTCGGATAAATTTGCGGCCGGTCTCGCGGCCGGGCTCCAAATTCAGTGAGCAAAGAATATCTGCCAAACTACTGGAGTACTTAGGAAGATATTAATTAGAATTACTTAGGAAGTTTTTACATATTAATTTGGAATCCGGCCGCGAGTCCGGGCGTAAATTTGTCCGAGACGTCTTTTGATTGATCAGTTGTTCGCCACTTCAGTGTACCTACCGTCTCCCGGTCCCGGAAAATCTCTCAATTTTTCAATGTAGGCTATTTATTTTAAAGTCAGGTAGGATAAGTGATCTTTAGATGAGCACCTTGCAAGGCTGTATAGTGCAAGCATGATAGAATTGTTAATGCATGGCATTTATGGCAACTGCTGATATACGTTTTGATTTAGCAAGTACCGTAGAATAAAAAGGCGTAGATCATCTATATTTTTTTTAAATTATTATAATTATGTACTATATATTTCTATTATTATTATTTTTGTTTAATGAAGGTTGTTATATTAGCAGCCCTTACTTATCTAAATTACATTAGCAGTACCTAACTCATTTCATTAACTAATGTATGCTCCCTGAGTCCCTGTACTGGCCTGTAGCCTGTAAATTTCTACCCAATCCTGTACTGAGCTTACATCAGTCATCAGCCAACCTCACAAGATGGCTGATGGCAGCAATTAATTTCATATACAAAGAAGCTGAAAATTCAAGCTAGGCCTATAAGCTCTCAGCCTCTCAGGCCCAACGGTCATCCATCTGGCAGACCTACGGGCTACGGCTTTAAGTCCACTCCAAGTGGAGTAGTGGACTGTTCAGTGTTCACTGTTGGACACCCTGCAAAGAAAAATTAAAACCGTCTCCCTGGAGGCTGGGCCACTGTGCAGAGAGTGGATGAATATTGCAAGATCTTTGGCGACGCTTCAGTAGCAAAATTTATGCCTTCAGAAGATCTTGCCGACACATTTAGATTGAAATTCTTGCATTTAATATATTTGTCAGTCTTTGGCCAACTATTTTAAAAAAAGTAAGGTTTCCGATATGTTGGATATATCAGGATGCAGTAAAGCTTGTCCGGAAATCAGTTGCAATGAGTTCCTGTCAAAAAAATGTAGGTAAACATCAAGCTTAGGTACGATTACGTAGTTGCGGACTTGCGGTCACATTAGAGCGGTCAGACTTCATTATCACATGTTCAGTTGACACTTGCTGTACAATCTGACTGTTTTTAGGGTAAAATTAGTTATTTGGGATAGCATGCTCATGAGACCTTGTAAATGAGTTCATGACTTGTAAATAGTTTTTCATTACTCAGCGTAAATGGCTTTTCATTAAAAATTACCTGGCGACGCTTAGGGCTTAAAAACCCATATATTGGCAATGCTGCATCCACCCTCTGCGGCTCTGCGCCCTGGTCGGATGGTCCCTGGGAACGGGGTAATAAACTCTAATTTTAAAACATTTGAAGCATGCAAAGTGTACTCATCAGTTACTAACAGTACTCTGAACTTCTGAAGTCCTCCTCTTCCTTTGCAGATGTAGAATAAATTATATTTTCTGTGTTTTTTACTGGTTTTCCCATTATTGATATCATATTACCATATCCAATAATCCATCATTGAACTCCTGATTAACTCCTCTGTGAGAGGGGTCGATTTTCCGCGGCTCCCAGCCGGGCTTTTTGACCCACCTCACGGTCAGATACCAAATCTCAAAGCCTTCAACTCCTCCGTGAGGCTCCGTCAGAAGGGTCGATTTCCGCGGCTCACAGCCGCGCTTTTTTGACCCATCTCACGGTGAGATCAACCAAAGCCAAGCCATGTTTCCAATAAATAATCCATGGACTTTCCATTATATTGTGCATTTACAGGCAATGCCTCCAGACTCCAGTCCCCTAGATAATCAAGGAAATTTTAGACCTAAATTAGTATCTACCAATACCATAAAAGGGGGTAACTTAGACTACTTTTTTTCAAATGATGCCATTTTTTTACTAGCTAAATTAAACTTAAATTGAAACATGCAAAATACATAGGTATTACAGGTCTATACTCTAGGTTCACTTACCATAATTGCTGGCTCCTGCCTCTCATAGTTTTGATGTAATTTTAAAAAAAGTGATGGTCTTTGTTACCCCAGCTCTTGGGGTATCTTTATCTTAGACTGGGTGGTAAAATCAATTATATTTTTTTGGTAAAATAACTCCAAATAACTCCAGGTTTTGGTGAATTCATTGTAGTAGAACTCTACTACTTCTATTTCTAGTTACATCCCGTATGCAAATGACAAATTTGAGGAAAGTGTCATAGTTTGCAAATGGAGGGCGCTGCCTGCAAATGGAGGAACTTAGACCACCTAATGTCAGGCGTCAGCTGTGATGGGGTAATATTGACCGGCTTGGAAATTAAGACAAAATTACCATATATAAGACTGTAGAGTTTGAAACATAAAGAAAAAACATTAATAGGTGTATCAAACATAAAATATGTTCCCCATTCGTCTAAGTTCCCCATTCTGGGGCGGCACCCCCCATTTGCAAACTATTACATTTCCCTCTCAAATTTGTCATCTGCATATGTAACTAGAAGAGATTTACTACAATGCACCAAACCTGGAGTTATTTTACCAAAAAATAAAAAATTGGAGGAGGTTCTACGACAGGCTATAAATCAGTGCTTCCCAAACTTTTTCAGGCTGGCACCCCCCTTGGCTCCCCAGTGAATCTCTAGTGTTCTGCCCCCACTGACAGACACATATAAAAACAAATGCCTCTTTCTTGATATTTAGTATGCTGCAATTTTGAAAGAGAAAGGTTAAACAAAGATCTTTCCACCAGCCCCCAGGCCCCAGGGGGGCAATATTGCCCACTTTGGGAACCACTGCTATAACTAATAGCTCTTATTTGTGGGTCACATTTTTCATTTTTTAACCTATTAGATATGCATAATTTTTTTATCTTTATATTGTGTTACATAGCCTCAGTATTAGGCCTTTAATGATCATTGACTAAATTTTTCTATGTCAAATAGTTTTTGAGTTTTGGGGGTTTTTATTAAAAAAAACTAAAAGTGGTATAAGTTACCCTGGGAGTCTATGTTACCCCCTTTTAGGGTATATTTAATTGAGCGTTCTCATATATTGAACATTCTTCATCAAAACAGATGAATTATAAATAAATATTCATAATGAATTTAAGTACTTTTCACAAAAACATGATTGCTCATAAGAAATTTTTATTGGTAACTTACAACAAAATATCCACAAAGAATGTTGCAAAACTTTTTGCAATACTGCCAATCAAGTCAAGGCCCATCTGCTCCTTATCTAGTTATACATTTAAGTTGAGTGGTCCTTTTGAAGCTTCTCTTTTAAAAATTCATAAAAATCATGTTTCTTGTCAAAGAAGGCCATTTTCCTGTACTCCTATGAACAAGAGTCAGAGAGAATCACAAGAGAAAAACCTGAGGTCAACTCTGTACTATGTTGCTGCTGTGGGGGTGCTAGTTTTTGGCCTTTCTTATGCTGCTGTTCCACTCTACAGAATATTTTGTCAGGTAACTTATAGATATAAATAATATGTAATTTTAGAAAATATCTTGTAGTTGTATTTAATTGTGAAATATTTTATTGGTAGAAAAAAAATTTGAATAAGATTTAGTTTAAAAGCTTTTGTATACATGTCATGAATTCCATTCCATTTGTCTCATTTTCATTTAAAATCGTCCATTTTTCTAAAAGAAAAATTCCTAGAAAATGCAAACCTTTTTATCAATTTTGTTATAAAATGGCAATCTTGTTCTCATAGCTGCTGAGCATCTCAATATTTCACCAATGATCATAACATATATTACATTCTCAATGATGAATAAAGGCTGTCATTGTGTCATGTGCTAAATAAAAAATGTACTAAACATTGCCTTTTTTTGCAGGCTTATAGTTATGGTGGAACTGTGCAGCATGCAGAAGATGCTGAAAAAGTTGCTGGTCTTGAATCGGTTAAAGACCGGAAAATCACAATAAATTTTAATGCTGACACCTCTGCAATGACTTGGAACTTCAGACCATTGCAGAGGAAAGTTGAGGTATATTACGACATCTAGTTGCTTTATAGTATACCGTATACCTAGTAAACCAATGGGTATGGTATGTTATTAATCTAAGTTCTTTTTTTTGTGCTTGTAAATAATATGACAGATATTAAGTTGTTTTAATTATTAATTTTTTTTTTTCGTTTCAGGAGTTCAATTATTGCCCAATGCATTCATGCTCTAATGAATCTAATTTTCATTTGGATTAATTGGTACATTTAATCTTTTATAACTATGGATGCTTATCAGAATAATTTTCCTGCTGAAATTGTTCCTTTTTTTCTATTTAACATGCCTTATTATCTTGAATCAATATTATTAACTAGTAAATAAATTTTCACATATCCCTCAAATCTCAAATTCTTTTTTATTTAAAAAAATATTTTTTCAGGTCATACCTGGTGAAACAGCCCTTGCATTCTACACGGCTACTAACCCAACAGACAAGCCTGTTATTGGGGTGTCAACATACAATGTATTACCCTTCGAGGCTGGCCAATACTTCAACAAAATTCAATGCTTTTGTTTTGAGGAACAAATGCTCAATCCCAAAGAAGAGGTAACTTTATTCAATTTTCATTGATTAATCAAGAATAAATTGCAAGAAGATTATTTCTCATTTTTGTTGACATTGAGATGAATACCTACCCATTTTTCAAAAAGGTTTGTTATGTGGACATCTGATTGCATGTAGGAGGGCAAGGCAACCTTTTTGTTACAGGTTAATTTCAAACATTACATATTGCCACTTCTTGTTTCAGTTTAATTTCGGGCACACTCTCACAGTTCACCTAGTTACTTTCTATTATTAGTTGTATATTATCCTTTGAAAGGATAGGTATGGCAGAGTTTTTGGAACACTCTTATGCTTTGGTGTGTATTGTAAGGCTGTCAATTCACAGTTAAAATTTGTACAAAAGTTCATGAAAATCAGCGTAGTCCTGGAAAATATACAAATGGATCCCAGCTACGGATTTTTTAGATAAAATTAGAGAAACAACCATTTAGTTGTATATATTCTTTATCATGATCATACGCCCAACTTATTTGGAGTTGGCATGGATCACTGTGGTTGTAAATATTTGTTACAAATATTATTTAATACAACAGGTTCAAATGCCCGTCTTCTTCTACATTGACCCCGAGTTCGCTGCAGATCCCGCTATGGACAATGTGCAAACCATCACATTGTCGTACACATTCTTTGAGGCCAAGCCTGGTATGGACATACCCCTGCCGGGCTTCCTCAAACGGTGAAAAACTCAACAGCCGTGTCTTAGTTGTACATTTTGTTACACATGTACCTATTTATGTTGGATTTCTATTTATGTTGGATGTAATTGAAAGTAGGTTTTTGTATCTATGTACGGCATAATAGTCTATAGAAACTTTTAAGAGAAAGGCCAATTGTTGCCTCTCCTAATGTGCAATTTCATCTCTAAGAATTTCTGAACACCGGTAATAAGCAATTGTCTGCGTTCTCTTATCATCGTAAGCAGCCACAAGCAAATTAAATACATTTTCCATCCGAATACCAAACTAATTTTAAAGAAAGAATAGTCTTGAATAATGGAATTTTCATCGCAAGTTTGCATACGAATTAATTCAAACAATCTTTAAATTTGCAATTTGCTGCTGTTGAGGAGGGGAATAAAATATTCGTTGAATTATTTTCTTTCTTACTAATGGTGGCAAGCTTGTGCTGCCGTCCGGCCAATAATCTGAATTTATATCATTCACAATGTTAGTTAACCTCGCTATTCTTAGTGAGATAATACAGATCTTTACTACCTTTTCACGCCAAGAAAGTTAAGTTGTCGTTCGTAATGGTGGCAACCATACATGCTTGGTCAAATAAGGCGCTTCCGCGACGAGTAGCAGTACTTAAGCCCGCGCATCAACAACTTATCTTCAAAGTTATATCCAACTTCATTCCGAATAGGAAATAAAAGAAACGCTGGTGAAACCTTTTACAAATTTAGTGAAAAGACAGAAGATAATTGCAACTTCCTCCAACACTTGGTCTGAAACGTATTGCTTCATTTATTCCTTCCTCTCCAGTTTTTGAAAGAAAAATGCATCCTCGGCTGAAAATAAAATAAAATTAACGTCTTTGCTCTGTCGGCAACAAACTGAACAAGGTCAAACATGCGCCTAATATACATATTTCAATGTCTACCTCCACCATTCATCAGATAATGATGCTAGTACTGTGGAGAGGTTCTAACCCAACAATATGCTGGATCATAACGCAAATACCGATTATTTTACACGCGGCGTAATTACTTTCGGCGATCTCTCATGACGTCAGGGAACTATGAATTTGCTAAAATTCGCTAATGAAGTCAATTTCAACCTGTCCAACATTTATGGAACATAACTGGTATACTCTAATTTATTTTAGGTATAAGTAAAAGTGCTGCATGGTAAAATTTTGTACGTAATGTCACTAATGTGATAGTAGTCGAGATTCGTTTGGAGCAATGTTCAATGAAATTATTGTTACTTCACTTTAGAAACTACAAAATTTATAATTTGCGTCTCTTTCTATTTTACATAGGCCGTTTGAAAAACGCTTTGCTCTGTAGACGCCAGGAAACGCCAGCGAAAGCCAAGTTTACCTCTTGTCGAGCCAAAAACGTGATCTAGCATCAACGCCACGACGAATAGCGAATATTTTTTTTTTCAACATTAGTCTACTATCACAAATGCGATACTTTTCTAAGAAAAAATCTATCAAAACATAGATCGACTCGTACTTCATCGAAATATGTAACCTCAATTTCAGAAACAATGTTACTTAGATAAATAAAAGTTAAACAATCATATCAATAAAAGTTTGTTTGTTGTCATTGAGGCAAGGTACGCAATAAATGGCTGAAGGAGTTCAATAATTCAATTTACGACGTTATAGCCCACACTTTGCTTCAACTTATACGATATCCTTTGCTCGGAAAAAGAATTTAATTCAGGTGAAGCTTCTGGAGTAAAATGTCACCCTATAAAAGAGCTGTAGAAAAAAAGTTGAAAATGCATTATGAATAATGTAGTTGATATAACTCTTTACGGTTAAAATTTGTACGAAACTTTATAAAAATCAGCGTAGTCTTAGAAAAAATATAAAATTCGATGGAAGATCTTCAAGTGGTTTTTCTTCGGAAGTTCAGTACATGCAGGGTCGGAGCTGAGTTTCCCTAATGCAGGGATCATTCAGAATTACCCCATGCCGAATACCATGAGAATAAGAGTTACTCTGTGTAGGGGAACTTGACAGTTAAACTTAATCCATGTAGCGATACTTGACGTCCGTGAGCGGCACGAAAGTCTGCTTCACCGCTTGGGCGGACGCCCATTTTAAGGCATACTGCGGACCTCCTGCTTTGTCGTTTGTGCCTGAACATAATGAGTAACTTGGTTAGATGCCTTATCTCAAACATTACGAAAAAAAAACTAATAATTCGGATTCGGTTCTTATGGGGTCTATTACGTCAGTCTCACTCCTTATTGTGAAGACAATCTTGACATTGCATAGTCATCTCCAGTAATGCTTGGAATGGACAATTTTGACATAGCTCTTCAATATTAAAAATCAAATTTAATTTACTTAAATACCTTTTTCACGTATACAGCCCCAAAAAATGCGTTTCTGCCAACTACTCGCTACGCACCACCTGTGGAAGCCTCTCAACTAACACCCACCTGATAGCCTGGATCCTCCGAAGGGCTGCTGAGCCACCACGGAGCCTGTCGACTTGTCATTGATGTAGAAGTTACCGGCCGAATTCTTGAGCTTCTCAGTCGCGGTTTCCAGCCATGACCTGCAACCATCATTGTGGAATAAATGCATTTATCTTCAACGATGTTGAGAACGCGAAGATATATATATGTTTTATAGCACTTACTACGGTGCTTTGTGCTTGCTATGGATAACAATAAATATTTCAACAAACTTTCAACTCTCAAAGTTTGATGTCGAAATGTTCATTGCTAATGACGACTACATAACTCAAATCCCACACATCAGTTGGTTCTCTGATCGAGAATTTTTCTGATTGAATTCAAGTAACTGTATTATAGCGTCAAAATAGTACAAAATTAAAAATATTGTAGAGTAATGATAAGTTAAACTATACACTAACACTGCCAAACTCAGAAGCACTCTAGATTTCATTGATTGCAATGAAATTTTTCAAAAATCGTTCAATCATAGATTCGAAGGATATTTATTGCTTTTCCTGCGGCATGTTTTCTCTGTAGGATAACAAACGAAAAATTACCTGATCACAAGTCGTCATAGTTCAAGTCTTTACCAAAAATGCTCCCACGACTGAGTCGACTGGGTTAGTCTTTGCGAAATTAGTGGACACTTTAGACTGAATATTCAAATGGCCCACTTTTATTAAACCTAATCACAATCAAGAGCAAATACAACAAACAAAATCTAAGAATCTTATTTTCCTTCACTTGATTTTCTTGTAGTCCAGAAGATCTTAACATCACAAAATAAACTCGACTCACTGGTCCTGAGCAAAGATGGCGCCGGTGAGCGCATAGGGCGTCGTATCGTCCACCAGTTTGATGATGGCGTCAATGTCAGCGTCGGGATAAACGTACACAGCCAGCACAGGCCCGAAGATTTCTTCCTTCATGATGCGGTCCATTGGATCGCTTGTTTGTACTATTGTAGGTTCCACAAAGAAGCCTTTGCTGTGAGATAGATTATCTATCAGTTTTTAAATGAAAACGTATAGATTGTACGGTCATAGTAATTTTTCGACCTCACTTTAAAACAGACGTTTAAAATCACGCGGCTATCAACATTACGGCTCAAGGTGCGGACATTAACTTGGAAAAGCTCGGAAGTCACAGGACGGCTAAGGTTGCCATCACTATTGATTCAGGTGCTGACCTCTTGTCATATTTGCCGCCGGCAATGATAGAGAGTGTCGAGGACGCCTTGGCTCGCTCGATGTAGCCTGTGATGCGAGTGAAGGCGGTCTCGTCGATCACGGCGCCCATGAACGTGTCGAACTCCCGTACATCCCCCACCTTGAGCTCCTGCTGTCGCGCTACTAAGCCCTCCTTCACCTGTCCACAAACACGGTATTTCTTATAATCGTCCTATTACTCGTACTAGGCACAAATACAAATATAACTCAGTACTCACTGCAGTGAGTCACAGAGAGCGCATTTTCTCAAAATCGACGAAAAGGTGAAGTCACGGACAGACGGACGGACGGACATGACGAGCACAATAGGGCATTTTTTCCATAAATGAGAAAGTGCGCCAAAAATATTTGTAGTAGAAAAAAAAACATTTACAACTATGTGATGAGGAAATAGAACGTGAACCTCACCAACGTTAGTTGGGTAAATAATATGGTCGTTTGAGGATCGTTCTATCGTCGTTTTGAGTGGGCATATAATTTGTAACACGAGTAAAGTGAATGGCGCTCTAGTCTCCTTTCAGTGGAAATAATAATTAAAAATCATCTTCGTTTTTACATTTTAGCATTCAGTAGGCCGATACTATATAAACTTTACCTGAGGCCACAAAGATTTGGGCACATAGAGCCTGGAACACGCGGAACATTTCTGTCCGCAGTACTCGAAGGCGGAGCGGATGGTGCCGTTCACAACAGAGGTGACATCCGCGGACGAGTGTACCAGATGGTAGTTTTTGCCACCGCACTCGCCTACCAGACGCGGGAAGTTCCTGTACTTGCTCAAGTTGTTGCCCACCTGCGTCCACAGCCGGTTGAAAGTCCTGCAGTGCAACCAAACTTTCCATGGCATCAACCAGTATGAAGAGGATAACACAGATTGTTTTTCGTCGCTTACATAATGGGCAACTATTTCTTGACTACCGCGTTTTTACTGCTTTTCTTAGCGTGGCTAAATATTAAAATTGTAAATTGATTGGCTATCACTATTTTACACTAATAAACAACACTGCACGAACGATGCCTTATCTATGGTCATCAAACGATACCACTAATATATCTGACTTCGATGAAAGAATTATCAAAATGACAGAGTTGTAAACGAACTAAAACTCGAGTCCTATATGGAACCTCTCTAAGAAGTGCCCCAATCAATTAATGAACTGATGTTACCAAGGAAAACAGAAATGGTTATATATTTCGACGAAAAAAATGTTACAACTTTGAAAATTTTTGTTGCACAACGGGATTTTAAATACCTATTACAAGATCCACTCATTAAGCATCAATCGAATTAGCTTAGCGTCAAAATTTAGCGTCTTGGATTTACGGCACAGATCCCGTGAAGTTTAGCGCCGCGAAGTGCGGCGACTGCGTGATCGTGTCGCCGAAGTCCGGCCCGTCGGCGGGCACGAAGTTGACAACGCCTGCCGGCACGCCGGCCTCGCGCATTATCTTGTAAATGATGTAGTTACTTAGCACCGCGGTGTCCGAAGGCTTCCACAGCACGCAGTTACCCTGAGCAAAGCTCGCACAGTAATTCATTGTAAGTCCTCAACATGATTCGTAGTTATCTATTTTAAATCTGGAGCATAACACGTTTAACTACGTATACGCTCTGGACACGACTAGAGACAGTAATTTCTTTTAAGTCGTCAACATGATTCGTAGTTATCTGTTATATGTGTGGAACATAACATGTATAGATACGTATACGTTCTGGACACCACTAGGAACAGTATTTCATTGTAAGTCCTCTACATAACTCGAAGTCATCTATTTTCCTTACTGAATATAACGTAAATATTAATGTATTAAATCTTTCACACATGTCTAGTAAGTAGGGATAGTTATTCATTGTACGTGCCTAAAATAATTCTTACAAATATTTATTGATTGCCCTTATTGTCGAATGTACAGTTATATATGTCCTGGAAACGGCTAGGGACAGTTATCCATCGTATGTCTGACCATGACTCGTAAAAACTTGCATTGAATGCCAAGTTATAACTCGTTCGGTAGGAATTCATTTTGATCGAATCTAAGCTTCCCAAGATCGAAACCGTTTCCGATAAATAACTGAATAGTTATAATATAATAATAATAATATAATAGCGGTTTCAGCGTAAATTAGGCCCTAGGCCTGTCGCCGATTCTTAACATCGCAGAATATTCACAGCTTATTGCGGTATCGAACTCGCAACTCACTGCTACAATTCTGCTGTGCTTAACCGCCCGGCCTCCTTGCCGATTCTGACCAGAAACTGGCGCACAGAGCTGGGATCGAACCCGCACCTCTCTGAGCCAATCTTGGTACTCTGAACTGTAACCTCTGGGCCACTCTGCCCTCGAGAGCATATTCTGAACGAAACGCGGTACTTCTATCAGATTTATCAGACGGAATAAATACAAAATTGCGATGAACTGTTCTGAAAATCTATGGTAGTGTAAAAGGCAGGCCGGTTATTGTACCTATGGGCACAAAAGTTTGTTTTAAAAACCAGGTACCATCAGAAACATTGCTCATGTATTGGTTGGTTTAAAAGTGAAGAAATATTAGAGGAAAACATTTCAACATATTTTGCACAGGGCTATTTGACGTACCATCATGGCAGGCGTGTAGGCCAGGTTGCCGCCAATGGCCGTGAAGTTGAAGGGCGACACGGCAGCCACGAAGCCCTCCAGTCCGCGCCACCGGATGCTGTTCAGCGTCGACGACTTGTCCGGGCTTACAGGCTGCCACTTGATGGCTTGTTGTGCGTAGTATGCATTGAACCTTACCGTCAAAATTAAACCTTTATTGATAACAAAATTAAACCCTTAATAACTATGGCCAAAAATGTTGATACAAAATTAAACCCTTAATAACTATCGCCAAAAATTTTGATACAAAATTAAACCCTTAATAACTATTGCCAAAAATTATGATACAGAATTAAACTCTTAATAACTATCGCCAAAATTTTTGATGCAAAATTAAACCCTTAATAACTATCGCCAAAATTTTTGATACAAAATTAAACCCTTAATAACTATCGCCAAAAATTTTGATGCAAAATTAAACCCTTGATAACTATCGACCATAGGTACAACATTGTTAATCCATGGTATCACTAAAAATTTGAGTTTCGTGAAACCGAAACATGACTAAATCAAATTTGTTGATCATCATACATCGTCATTTTTTACACAACGCGTTTGCAACATTCAAAAAAGCTGGATTATTCAATCCCACGGCGATATTTAAAACTGTACGTCTCTGTAAAATACTCAAGAAACCGAGGTTGTAAAACATACATATTTTCATACAATGAAAAATAAAACCTTAATTGCCGATCCAAATTAAAAAATTTATAAATAGTAAAACAAGGAAAACTCTAATACAGTTGCATTAATAGACGAAAATAACATAACAATTTATATTCTAAAGGCGTAATTTGAAAATTTATGTAAATCGAAGGTTCATAAGCGTTAGTCAAATGAATTAGTCGCACCTGAGGAAATCGATGAGCTCTGCGGCGGCGTCTATCTCAGCCTGTATGACGGTCTTGCTCTGGCCCAGCATCGTGGCTGCATTCAGCTCCTGTCTGTACTTGCCTGCCATCAGGTCAGCTGCCTGCAACCATATGCATCTATTTATTGATAGATCTTATTTATTTAAAGTAAACAGCATTCATAATTAAAGTTTATTAAATGCTACACTAATTTGTAGCTATCAGGTCAGCTACCTGTAACCACATGCATCTATTTATTGATCGATCTTATTTATTTAAAGTTAACAGCATTCATAATTAAAGTTTGTTAAATGCTACACTAATTTGTAGTGTACTCAAAAACTCAGCCATTAGATTCGCTCAGCCTTTGCCTTGCTGTGACCCAAGCATAGTTACTTCAGTGAAACTCTCATATACTTACGCACTCAACTCATTCAGCTATGCGGACTAACGTCGAACAGTGCAACGTTACGGTGTACGAAAGGGATTTTAAAATTTAAGCTTCCACCTCCAGGGCTTTATAAGTACTTGAGGACTTTCGACTCCCAGTTTGGATAAAACGGAAACATGGTTTGAAAGCTGCCAACGGTTCTTTTCCACTTTGAATTGCTTTTTAATTTACTTTACTTTTTATAGGTCCGTCGTGGTTTCAATTTCTACCATGTATATTTAGTCAAATAAATTGATCATAATAACACTGTGGAAATGATGACAGAGCGGACTTTCCAAACGTTTCCATTGAAAATGTGGGGAATTCGCTCGGCATATTCTATATAACAAATTTCCAGTGAAACTTAATCTGTAATCAGAACCAATCCTGTTCAATTGAAAACCTTAACTGCTCTGCTGCAAGTGAAACATTCTGAATAATTAATCCACTTGTCCATTCTCTTCAAATTATTGCTTAACCTTGAAAAATAACACAGCCACACTTGTTTAAGACTGGCAAAACTCATCAAAATACGTTCATGAGGTAACCAATAACTTGTGATGACCTTCACATGCCCGATAATTGCTTCTGCAATAACACAAAATCTATTAATTTATTCGAAAAAAGTAAACATTTATCCTCAATAATCATATGGAAACAGAACGTATAAAGAATAACCAAATGATATATGATAGTTTCTTACCTTGAGCCACATGTTGAATTTATCAGCGAGCGGCACGCGCTCCCAGTCTGCTCTCGCTGTCAGCGCAACGTCGATAGCTTTCTGCACCAGCTCCGGCGTCGCGTGGTAGAACTTGGCCACTCTGAACACAGCAGGTATTTACATTATTTTCATATTGAAAACGGAGTTCATTTGTCCCAGAAACTTGATGGGGTTGTAAAAAGGCTCTCATAAATCATTAACATAATGGTGTTTGGATTTGTAAATTGTTCTTTTTCTTTTTCAGGAAAAAGTTCATGAACATTCATTAGATATTTCTCATACTTTCGGCTATAATTAAGCAGAACGGCCTAATATTTTCACACTTTATCTTAGGATTCATTCAAAGTTTTCCTTGTTTAGTCACATCTAGACGCCAACCGCGTCGAATGGCGTCTCCTCCCCAAGCAAAATGTAGGGGAAGCTCGGTACCGGTACGTTTAATGATGATATTAAAGAGGTTCGCCTTGGATAATGCTTGCATGCAAGGTGAGTTACTGAAACCACCTGGGCGCTATTACCTTGAGCCACATGTTGAATTTATCAGCGAGCGGCACGCGCTCCCAGTCTGCTCGCGCCGCCAGCGCAACGTCGATAGCTTTCTGCACCAGCTCCGGCGTCGCGTGGTAGAACTTGGCAACTCTGAACACCGCAGGAAATTACATTATTTTCATATTGAAAACGGTCCCAGAACGGTTCATTTGTCCCAGAAACTTGATGGGGTTGTAAAAAGGATCTCATAAATCATTAACCTAATGGTGTTTGGATTTGTAGATTGTTCTGCTTTTTCTTTTTCGGGAAAAAGTTCATGAATATTCATGAGATATTTTTCATGCTTTCGGCTATAATTAAGCAGAACTGCCTAATATTTTCACCCTTTATCTTAGGATTCATTCAAAATTTTCCTTGTTTAGTCACATCTAGACGCTAACCGCGTCGAATGGCGATTCCTCCCTTAACAAAATGTGGGGAAAGCTCGGTACCGGTACGTTTAATGATGATATTAGAGAGGTTCGCCTTGGATAATGCTTGCATGCAAGGTGAGTTACTGAAACCACCTGGGCGCTGCTGAGGAAGCAATGTTAGGAAATACTAGCGCCAGCTAACGACACACAAAAATGCAGATATGCTCGGTAGCGCAGGATGAAATGAGACTAGTAGGGATAGGAATAGGATGATGCAAATCATATAAGCCAAATTGGCTAATGACGCCTAGTCGATACAACAATATGGTAGCCCCATGCAGATACAATTACTCGGGTATTGGTGCAGCCCTCTAAAAATGTAACAGCATAATTACGAGTAAGCCTGCCTACAGTATAACCAATCAAAAATTCAAAGTGGTACACGGTAAGATCAATGGGGATCTTCGTCATGTGCAAGTTAAATCATAGATTTGAAACACCATAAGTAAGAGGTCACTAAACAAACGGCCTGCGGCAAGCAACAAGGAATTCAACTTACGTACTACTCACAGGCCAAAATTGGTTGTTTACTTAGACACTGCATAAAAACACGCCCACACCGTGCCAAATGAAATGGATGCTTTAAAATCACTGTTACTTTGTAAAATAGCTTGCACTACTTGAATTGCACATATGAACCACTAAATGTAATGAGCACACTGCTACAACTTGTTAATCGTGGGAAGAACTGGCACTTTTAAGACAGGGGGAACGTATTCACTAATGGATCAATAAGCTCATTCCCTGGGTGCTCCGCTGAAGTTGCGAAGCCAGTTGCATCGAGAGTCCAAACATGAGGAAGAATTTCGTCTCACTGAGACCCAGGAAGCGTACTGAGGAACGCCCTTGAGTTTGGCTAGAGTCCAGCGTTGTAGACTTGACTCTTGATGCCCCATAAAGGGCACAGGCATGCAAGGCAGGTAGATAACCAGTGCATAGCAGGATCACACTGCGCAGCCAACTAAGACGCACAGTAAGACTAAGGCGCACAGCAAGACTAAGACGCACAGCAAGACTAAGACGCACAGTAAGACTAAGGCGCACAGCAAGACTAAGCCGCACAGAGAGACTTGTGTTAACTACAGAAACCAGGTCGCAGAAAGACATAACAAGACTCATTCAAGTACATGCATTAGGTCTGGAAAAGCTAGCTAACAAGGAAACCACATCATGAGTCATTAAAACGTGGTAGAGGGAACAGTGAAAATTGTCTCCCTTTATCTTTGGATTTATTCAAAGTATTTGATGTTTAGTCGCATGTTAAGTCACGGTAACTGCGTTACCGTCATTAGAAAAATGCTTAATAAGGGAAGGACTTGAAGAGTCGTAACACTTCTTCAAATAATTGTATATAATGACAATTCAATGGGTCATTATTTATGGTATGTGATTACTCGCGAAATAAAAATGCAGTGTCAAGATTTTGTTACTCAGGAATGATGATATATATATATGATATATAGCTAAGTGAATGCTAAGAGAAAATAAAGTGAATTTAAATAGCGTTTTCTTTGCTTTTAAATTCTCTGTGCTGACTTTTTAGCGTGGTCGTGGGGCATGGGCTGGTGCTGGACGCGGTCCGTGGTGTAGGCCTGGTCGCCTATCATGATAGGAACCTCGAGTGTAGTGGACGACAGTCGCGTCAGCGCCGCCTCCAGGTCCTTGCGCTCCTGGCTGCTCTCCAGGTACTCTGCCACAAAAGAAAGAACCAATAAATACTTTCTTGATACCGGAAAAATCTCAGAAAAAAAAAACAATCAAATGCTGGGAAATTTTTTCTCGATGGCGGCAATCGTCACTAAGGGAAAAGAGTTGAAACTCGTGTAATAAGCCATAAACTTATCAAAGAAAAAACAGATTACTGGGCGATTGATTAGCACACTTTTTAATAGGTTGTTCCGCCTTTATTAATAACAACTATCATAGCAGGTTACGTCTATGTTCATAATAACGATCAATATAAAAAATTATCTAACTAACAAATTATCTAACTAACTCCATAAATGCTCTCTGAAAAACGAGGCTGCAACTGACGCTGGAAAATTTCATCATAAACACATGTACAATGTGCACTCAGAAAAATTAATGGATCATACGGTCTAAATAGTGACATACCGTACATTGTACTCTTAGCACTGATACGTCATTTTTCCTAGTCAAACTGGTTCAGGATGACACACACAAGAGAGAAAAGTGCATCGCTGTTAGGACAGCGTCCCACTAATTTTAGGGCGTGTATCGCGGGAGCAAGTGGCATTGAAAACTAGTATGACTAGAGTCAAACTCCGGCAAGGCAAGCCCACTTCATGCCATGACAAAACAAGTTACTCCTGGTCTGGGCATTATTGAATCTCATTGAATGCATTCTGTTTACTTTTGGTCTGCTGATCACGCTTTAGATTATTGTTTTGAATTTTTACAAGAAATTCCGTCCTTCAAAATCCACACAAAGGTACACACAAATTTTTTCAGATTTTCCTAGCCTTGAATTCCGTTGAATGCAGTGTGTTTACTTCGCTATGTCTGCCGATCACGCTTCTGGGGATTTCAAATTTACATAAAAAAAGTCGTGCTTGTTAATTCTCACTTAAGTACAAAAATTATCATCACAAGCCTGAACATTACGTATCAAAACAAACTTACCTACTTAACCATCAAGAATCGTTAGTTATTCTCTATTAATAATTATCAGTTAATAATTATAAATAGTGACAATAAATGAGGTGGCGCATCTAAATGGTGACAGACGAGCGTACAAGCGAACGTAGCAGCTAGGTTTCGTTCAAGGACAATAGCAACAACGAGACTAGAATTAGAAGAGGTTATAACAAGTCACTTTTTAAATGCATTGTCTACTGCTCGGGGTCTGGAGCGGCTGTCTCTTTGAAACAAAGCATTAGACGATATGGAATTCGAAGCTGATGTTTACCTAAACGAAACACTGAGTGAATTGTGCGGAAAATAATTGACAGTATCTAACATTGTGAAGCTCAAGTGGACTCGGTAATCTGAAGAATTATGTGTATAGTTAACTATAGTAGGTAAGTTTACCGCTATAATATTTATATCGATTATAGATATTCGACTGCCATGCAAGATCTGTCAGTTTATGAAGCGCATGCATATACGACGCCGGGAGACGTCCAAGATTTTTTGTAGTTCGCAGTTGCAACAAAACGGAAACCTGTTCGCCGCGCAGCATGGGTCGGTGACAACAGGTTTTGGCTACAGCTTCAATGCCGCGGCAGACCTGCATTGCCGCAAACTTCTCCTCGAGCGTATATATAAGTACACGGTATACTTCGAGTGATATGGCACAGGTGTCATGTCAACAGGAAACACTCTCAGGAAAACGAACGGGTCATATTGTCCAAATAACAACACACTTTCCGTACGTAGCACTGATACGCCCATTAGACGTGCCAAACTGAGTCAAATGACCCACGCATGGTGAATAAGTGCATTTCTATTTCCCTGGTCTCACTCATTCCTCTGAATGCCGTTAAGGATGTATTATCATTAAAATCATTATTGATATCATTTTGACGCTATTGTTGTTACTAGCTTTCATTTATATTATTAGCATAACATAGTCATATTGGGAAGTTCCTTAACATCATAACTTTTTAAAACATTATTTAGGGAAAATTTTAGATGATATCCAAGTTACCAACATATCGCAAACATGAACTCGTGGTAGTTTTTCCACACAGAGAATAAATTATCAATAGTGCTGCATAGAGAATTAATGATGATAGTTAATAAAAATAAATAATTATTAATGATAGTTAATAAACTCACCATATACGGGCTCATTTTCAACACGGAAGTCGTTGGTCTTGGGCTCGATAACCACCGCAGACGCCGCGCGAGCGCATCTGCAAACCATCCATAATTGTTAAATCATTTCAATATGGAACTAAAATGATCTTGTGTGAAACGGACATGAATAACTCAGACAACCTGTGTTATTTTTGTTACAAAACTGAGGAATACACAGGAATGTGTGCACTGGAAATTTGCGTATATGTATATAGATAGATAAAGATGCCGGGCTAACGTTTTAACTAATATTTTAATTTACAGAAAATTTAATTATCCCCCAACATCTTGGCATTCGAGTTTCGAACAGAAACGTTCGCGAGACTTTATAATCTTTCAACCTTAGGAAATTTTTGAAATGAAATAAAAAATTATTTTAAATTTAGTTGAAATTAATAAACAAAATATTTTCTCGATATAGGTACATCAGTGACCTTCTATAGTAAATTGAATATAAGCATAAAATTTCATCAAACGTTGAATACTTCGAAAAGCACGCCGTCGAAATTGCTGAAGGTGTGGGTGCTGGCCTCTGGCATGCATCCCTGCTCCTCCAGCCAGCACTCCGAGTGTTATGCCAACCTAACCGAGTGGTGAAACGAATATGTTTTCTAGCTTTCTTGAAAATGTTTGGGTAACGAGTGGACACTGCCCGACGATAGTCGACAGTGGAAAAACAAGAGATGATCTTGAACAGGGACACAAGGTTAGGCAGGTAGAAGAAGTCGTTCAACCCAACAATTTAAAAGGGTTCGAGGAAACGGTGTCGGCAACACGTGTATGATCAGGCTCAAATTTTTGAGAAAATAATGCCCTTCAGTAAATTGTCTGTATATTTTCAGGCTTCAGCCTAATTATAAATCTCAATGACTTGTACTGATTTAAGAAGATTTTACCTAGTATATTTCATTCAAGAGTTAACAAAATTTAAATGAACGCAAGCGAATCAATATTAACAAACTTTAAAACTATACCACTGTATGTGATCATTTTGTAGCTAACTTGTTAATAAATTAAATAGAAAATTTCAAATTGTGATAGACTTTTTTTGAATTGATTGTGTGAGTAAGAACTCATCCTGTATGACGGTGTATCGGTAAAAATGATCAAAACATTAGAACAATTACGAATTTTACTAGGTAGCTACTCCAAGTTCATTCGCAAGTGCCGCGCGTTGGGTACAAGGGGGAGGAGGTGGTGGTGGTGGTGAGGTCAACCCAGGAGGCGAGATGAAATGGAATTTTCCTAAACCTGGAGCACAGCTCAGGAGGTCGATCGCAAAGCCATGAAAAATAGAATCACTGCTCCACTGCCCATGATCGTATTTTGGAATTGAGTAGCGTGGATGCCCAGTCAACGATTTCGCTCGTCAGGAATCACTTGAAGATCGATGCAGTAATTGCCTTCATTTAATTATGGAGTGTCAATTCGAGTCGTACGAGACAATACCTAATACCTTATACATGTTTCTTTTAATCCATGGAAGCTGTGAGTGGAGGCTGCATGAAGGAAATCTCATCAGTAGACTAATATAAAACACTGTTCATGTTCAAGCAATGTGTTTACGATACAATACGAATCATGAGACGGTTTTTAATTGAAATACGCTCAACTTAACTACGTAGCACATAGCGTACGAAAACGCTTACTCGAGCAATTGGTCAAACTTCAGTGCCCCATATTAACATCAGATTTTCTACTACTACCGACGTGCAAAAGCATGCATAAATGCATGCATTCTAAAACAGTCTCTTAGCCCATTCGGTACAACGTTGTTAAAAGAAGGAACATAATTACTATTCGAAGATAGTTGAAGTTTTATACAAGTACTGTTTAAGAGTTTGGAATAGTTTTATCCGATGGATTGGGATACGTCTAGCCACGGTCTAGGTCCAGCAAAGCGCCCCTGCCCAAAACTTTCATCAGCCAATTCGGATAAAAAATTAAATAATCAAATATTTCCAGAAGCCATATTGAACGTTAATACAACTACATATGACAAATGTTTACACAGGTTCGCGGGTACTCGACGAGAAGTAAATAAACTGGAAGCCTTGATAAAGGAACGAATTTTCTTAGCAATTTCTGATGGTCAACAATTACTGTTGCAATTGTAACTTCTCATTTTACCGAGTTCAATGATGTATCTTTCATTCGCCATACGGCTTCACTATTGTAAAACTTGACAAAACGAAGAATAATCTTAATGTTATCAGACCAAATAAGGGGTCGAATCAGTATTTAATTCTTTCTACCCGAGGAATAATGTATTTGTTTTCAATCGTAAACAGCAGAGGGGATTCAGGGGGAACTCATCGACCCTTCAAACTCCCCTCTGCGTTTCCTCGAAAGATCTATAAATGTCCAAGCCTACGTTCTAAATATACTAAACTTGACTAAAAAACATTGAACTAGATATCAAACATTCCTTAATACCATGGTAATTCAGTTTAGTCAAATATTTACCTTGGAGCAGTCACCTGTAAAGTCGAGCGAATAGCAGACAACATGTCCAATCTATTTGGCAGCACACACGGTCGCCACCTCACACACTCACGTCTCGAACGCAACTACAACAAAAACAATACTGCCGATGCGTTTCTTCGATGCTGGACTATTTTTCAGCAGCCGGTTTGCTGGCGCAGTAATAATGGCTGGAGGCTATCTATGATCATGCCCTTCGCTGCCTGCATGTGACTATGCCCATGTCCAAACGGGTCAGTCCGTTGGGTACTGCTTTTATAAATTATGCACGGCTTTAGGCTAAACCACTGATGAGCACAAAGGCACTCTTTGAGTCGTTAGTTGACTCATTCTTTGCACAAGTTCATATATTAGTTGAAGCATTTCTCAATTCTTGTGATACATTTCCGAAGCAAGTCTTCGGTTTTTTATTGCACAAGACGCGTAAATCACCTCCACATGGACGCCGCCCTCGTAAGGTTAGGTTCAACTTGATTAAATTTTACATTGCGTGAGGTTGCTATATTATTTTTTTAATTAAATAAAACTTAATCGCTCAAGAGTTGCCCCTGTAATGGACCAATAAGTATTGAACTGACTTTCTTATCTGCATCAAAATACTTAATTGCATATACAAATACAAAGTTACTTGCAAAGCGAAGCTAGCTGGAGAGGCAATAGTTTTCAACCAATATATATCATGGTTAAACTAATACAATTAGTTCCACCATGAATGTAAATGTTCGAATATGAGTACTTTAACGAATTTTTATAGTGACGATAAACTACTTTTACTTTTCTGTAGCCACTCACAATAATAAAGGATAAATGAAACTCACTATTAACGGAACACACATCAATGCTCGACACACAAGGAATTTGTATATCTAAAATTGAATATCAACGTGGTCACACTGATTTCAAATCCTCAAGTGTGGGATAAAATATGCAAGTTCTGTAGTAGCAGTAACAACACACCATATGCAACTAAAAGCTAGCAAATACAAATGCAATTTCAGATCTATAACACGCAAAAGTTATTGTGGCTGCGTGTTCTTGCTCGCCCCTATAAATTTCTAGTGCAGCACTGAAACCAAAAACTTTCCAGAAAAAAACTATTATACTCTACTCATATATCGGTCAAAGTTTATACGTTTGAAGCCGGACCCGGGAAACTTGTACAAGGGCTAATCGGGCGTTCATCGAAGATACATATAGAATAGAAGTGTCTGCACTGAAGAAATAGGCCCATGGCCTATTGCCGGTTCTTGAATTTTTCGTGACTTGATTCACAAGGGATCCGGGCTTTGGAACCCGATCTTTCCATAACTGACGATTGATTGAGATCGCTGCTGGACTTATTGCCAGGTCTGTAAGGTGCTAGGCATTTTAAGACTGAACATATGCTCCTGCATAGCTTCGTCTAGTCTGTTCTTGAAGGCGTTCATACTCGGAGCGTCAATGATGCTACCAGGGAGGCTGTTCCACATGTCGGTGACTCGAAGCGAGAAGAAATGTTGTCGCATGGATGTGTTCCAACGCTGTTTTTTTAGTTTATAGCCGTGGCCCCTGGTGTTGGTTCTTGTTTCAAATTCTAGTAATCCTTCTGGGACCTTGTATAAG